AGGGGTTGGATGCTGTGTTTCTCTTGGCGCTCTAAATGTGTCTTCCTTAGTCTGGTGCTTCAGTTTCCTTGGCTGTAAAATGGAGATAAAAGCATTTCTTTGCCTATCAGTAGTAATTCAGAAGAAATGTGTTGGAGGTCCTGAGGTTTGATCCAGGGATTTGGGAATAGGAGCCATATGTGTATGGAGTCAAGCTGCTTGTTTAGAAACGTGTTGAATTTGAGTCAGACTCAAAAAGAGCAAGTCCGCCAAGTAGAAGTTACCTACTTACATTTTTTTAACCATTAAGTCTTAGGGTGTCCCATGGAGAGAAGCCTTTCCCTCTCCTTAGTACTGGAGAACCCGAGGCACTGGGATGTAAAGGGTTGTGCAGCGGGTTGGTGTCGGAGCTGGATTTGGCCACAGAACGAGAGAGGGGTTGTCGGTCTTCCAGGTTCAGTCCACACCCACGAGGTCAGAGCTCTGTGTCTGGGGTGCTCCAAGAGCTTTGCTGAGAGGCTGGGGTGTTCCTGCTACCGCCTGTACAGCCGTAACCACTCTGGCATCGGGGCAGAGGGGCCTCTGCAGGGTCACGTAGCAGAGTTGAGTGTGTGAGCTCAGTGCCCTCATCTGACTCTGTTCAGTTCGGCAGAGCGTGCTGCAGTGACTTAACGAGGAGAGCTCCTCAGTCATGAGCTCACTGCGGATATCGGTTGCGAATGTCTTTGTGTTGTTGACCTTTGTTCACAGTCTGGAGCATCGAACTTTGGTGAGAAGTTTTCCAGGGTGAAGTTCTCTCCGTCGCTGACGCTGTTTGGTGGGAAGCCCATGGAGGGCTGGATTGCTGTGACCATCAGTGGCCTGGTGACGGTCTCTCTCCTCAAGCCCAATGGGCAGGTGCTGACATCCACAGAGAGCCTGTGCCGCCTCCGCTGTCGCGTTGCCTTGGCAGACGTTGCCTTCACTGGTGGGGGTAACATTGTGGTGGCCACATCGGATGGCAGCAGCACCTCCCCTGTCCAATTCTACAAAGTCTGCGTCAGTGTGGTGAATGAGAAATGCAAAATAGACACCGAAATCCTGCCTTCCCTCTTCATGCGCTGCACCACGGACCCTGCCCGCAAAGACAAATACCCAGCAATCACTCACCTGAAATTCCTTGCTCGGGACATGTCAGAGCAGGTAAGCATCTGCTGTTAAAGCAAGCAGGAATTAAATGAATAGCAAGGAAATAGCTCTTTGCTCCACCTTTGACTTCCCCACACGACTCTGGAGGTGAACAATCGTGTCCTGCAATGCCCTTTGTGTTTCTAGTTGCTGTTTCTGGAGGTACTGCTAGTTCAGCTTTGCTGTCAAGCAAGCTGCACTTAAGAGGTCTGGGGATCTGATGGCTGAGCCCTCCGGTTTGTGGAAAAGCAGCCTGAAAAGCCCCGTCCTTCATTAGCCTGATTATGTTTTGCTTTGTTTATTTTCCGGATCTGGCACCAGCTGTTCAGGGAGCTCTGCCGGGCTGTCCGGGAGGTTCTGGGATGTGAAGTCTTTCATCTTTAGGTCTCCGCTTCAAAGCAGCCCCTTTCCAGAACACTTACAGCTCTTGATCTGCGTGACTTAATTTAGTAGCTTAACTCTATTTGCCAAGGGATTGATAATACGATTCTGGAAAGCTAAGTGGTTCAATGAAGCCTGACCTCTCTTCTCTCTCCTCTGGTTAGGACGGAGTGCCTGGCTGGAGAACACAGCGTCTGCTCTGGCTTCAGAGTCAGTTCGGTTCATGTCCTTGCCTTTACATTCAGTTTGTGGTGTATGTGAATGGCATCGGCAGGTCACAGGCTTGCGAGAGATGAGATCGTTTGTGATGTGGAGAGGCACAGGCTGTGATAACACGTGGCAGGGTTCTGCCTCTCTTTCCTCCTAGCTGGAATTAGGAACTTCACCATTACGTATTGCTGATACAGTCCTCTGCTTTTCGCTAGCGGAGTTCGAATTGAGAGAAGGAGCCTCAAAATAGAGGGGAGAGGGAGGAGTGGAAAATGCGATGGGATAGTTCTTTCCCTGTTGTAAAGTTTGTGCATGTGGTTGCAGTATGGGTTTCTGTTTTGCAGGTGTTGCTTTGTGCTTCCAACCAAAACAGCAGCATCGTGGAGTGCTGGTCTTTGCGGAAAGAGGGCTTGCCAGTCAATAATATCTTTCAGCAAATCTCTCCTGTGGGTGAGTTTCTGCACTGGATACTCTTAAAAATAGGAGCATGGTCTAAGTGAAAATGCAAGACAGGTTCTCAAATCCATTATCGCATATATGGGATTATCCAGAATCCTACATTTATTTTTCAGGTGTTCTCAGTCACATGCTCTATTCCGTCTGTTTGCATCTTAGGCAACAAATTGCTCGTTTCCAGGAAGTGGTTTGATTGTTACTTTCACTCAATAAAAGACATTTTCTGTGTTACGCTGTGCAGCCACTCTTCCCGCTGAGAAGCGAGCAAGCCCAGCCTTCTAAAGGAAAAAGATCGTGCAGCAAAGCTATTTAATCGGCCTATCCAGTCTGCATGTTTTTTCCACCTTATTTGAGATACAACAATATCAAATCTATGCAGTTTGTTCCAGTGAAATATAAAGGATTATTGTACAGAAGGACTTTTTTAATCACCACCAGCAGAGCCTTCCATCAAAAGAGATTTAGCAAAACAAGTTGTTGTTTGTACAATTCAGAAAAAAAATAGGGAAATAAGAGGGAGATGTAGTGGTCTGGTAGAATGAACAAATAGTCAGTGCTTGATCTGTATTCCCACTTAGTTGGGGAATGTGGGCAGAAAGTGGGGGGGATGTATTTTCTGGTCTCTTTGGGGAAATGTCTCACTTATTTGCTTATTTTTCAAAGTTGGAGACAAGCAACCCATGATACTGAAATGGCGGATTCTTTCTGCCACCAATGACTTGGATCGGGTTTCAGCTGTGGCCCTGCCAAAGTTGCCAATCTCCCTGACCAATACTGATCTGAAGGTGGCGAATGACACCAAATTCTTCCCTGGATTGGGTAAGGAGTTTCTGTTGTCTTTCTCCTAAATATGTAACTTTTGCCTGAAACTTTACCTTCTTCATCTTCTGAACTGTAGCTGAAGTAAGAACGTGGAACAAACCATATGAAATGCTGATAGGAAAACTTTCAAAGACGTGGTATCTTCCTAGCCATCCTGTTTCGTTTCCATGGAAAGAGACGTATCTCTGTGAAAGGCTGACATGGCCCCAGGATACGAAGAGGGCTGCAAGCCCACAGTCTTTTGGGTGCTGTCCTGATGCCCCGTGGGCTTTCAGTGGTGGCTGCTTCTCTGGGCAAGGTCTGGGCCATACCAGGAGTCATCGCTTGCTCAGCCTTGCTTGTCTTCTCTCCCCAGGTCTGGCTTTGGCTTTTCACGATGGCAGTGTCCACATTGTTCATCGCCTGTCCTTGCAAATGATGGCTGTCTTCTACGGGTCTTCCTCCCAGCGCCCAGTGGACGAGCAGACTATCAAAAGGCAGCGAACTGCTGGGCCCCTGGTTCACTTCAAAGCCATGCAGCTCTCCTGGACGTCTCTGGCCTTGGCTGGCATTGATAGTCACGGGAAGGTATTGTGCTCTGTTATGGGGGGATGCATGAGATGTTCTCGTCCAGGCTCTCTCTAAATGGCGATGGATCCCTCAGAAGAACGCTGGGAATGTTACTTCCAGCTGTGTGATCCATGTTAAACAAGGAGGAGTGTATCCCGTTCCTGCAGGACTTCTATCATTGGGTCAGGAATGAGCTGCAGTTGGCCACCCTGTGTTGTGTTGTAGCTTTGTGGAATGTTTTCTAGTCGGTTCTTGACAGACGTTTTCCTTTGCCTCCTGCCTTCAGCTGAGCATGCTTCGCATCTCCCCCTCCATGGGCCACGTGCTGGACATGAACATGTCCCTCCGTCACTTGCTGTTCCTGTTGGAGTATTGCATGGTGACTGGCTACGACTGGTGGGACATCCTGCTCCACGTCCAACCCAACATGGTCCAGAACCTGGTGGAGAAGCTGCATGAAGAGTATATGCGCCAGAATGCGGCCCTGCAGCAGGTCAGCGGGAGCTCCCGGGTTACTGCAGAGGGCGGGCACATGGAGGGGTCTTACTGGGAGGAGGGAGTGGTAATTGCCAGTGCTCAGAAGAGAGATGGCTCTGGCTGTGCTCTCTCTGAATACTCTACTCGAGCAGTACTTGAGAGGTGAAGAACCTCCATTTAAGCAGTGTTCGTTTTCACTAACGTTGACGGGTTTCTACCTGTTGGAAACTTCTGGTGAGATGGTAAAGTCTATTTTTGGCAGAGGCTCTGGGAACAGTAGCACTGTTTGTACAGGCACAGAACAGTATTCACATGCACAGAACAGTATTCACTATTCCTGTCATTCATGTGGCAAAAACGGAGAGAATAAAGCAGCTTGCTTTTAATGAGCTTATGCTAATTCTGCCTTTACTTCTGTATTTTTCCTGGTGTGTCTCTGTCAATCAGGTCCTCTCCACACGCATTGTTGCCATGAAGGCATCTCTCTGCAAGCTCTCCTCCAGCACGATAGCCCGTGTGTGTGACTACCATGCGAAGCTGTTCCTGATCGCCATTAGCTGCACCTTGAAATCACTGCTACGCCCACACTTCCTGAACACCCCAGACAAGAGTCCTGGGGACCGACTCACCGAGATCTGCTCCAAGATCACAGATATAGGTAGTGATTGCTCATAACATCTGGCACTGCATTCTGAGTGTTTTGTATCAGATCATTCCCCTTTTAGGTTTGATATAAAGTGTCACGGTCTCATAGTAACTCACTGGGTTTGAGGAAGAGGAGGGTGACCTCTCTTGGCACCGCAGAGAGAGGGAGTGAAGTTTGGATCCATCTTCTTCCTGAGCCAGGAGATGTCTTGCTTCTGTTTCAGACATTGACAAGGTGATGATTAACCTGAAGACGGAAGAATTTGTCCTGGAGATGACCACGTTGCAGTCCCTGCAGCAGCTCATCCAGTGGGTGGGAGATTTTGTGCTCTATCTGCTGGCCAGCCTTCCTAACCAGGTGAGAGCCCGGGGTCCTGAGAACAGACCAAGAGGAGCAAAGAAATTTGTGTGCAGCGTTCGGGTAGCTTTAGCCAAGTCACACATGACCCCGGTGTTCCTGTCGAAACAGGCACTTGGGAGATGCTTGTAAGAAACAGCCGAAATACAAAATGGTCCTTTCTGTGCCCGTCTGGGAGTCAGTGATGTAGTGACTGGCAGCTGCATTCAGAGAAGCGGGCTCAGACTTGTTTAAACTTTCAGTGAACCTCTGTATGCCTCTGACCTCCATGGCATCCTTGGGCAGCGAGTGCCGCGGGTTGTGTAGTGCTTGAAAAAAGGAGTTGTCTGAAAACGGAGCAGTGGGTCCAGCAGGCTGCATGTGAGTCCCAGTCTTGGCTGGTTTTGCCTCTGCAGGGCTCCCCAGTGCGGCCAGGACACAGCTTTCTGCGGGACGGAGCATCCCTGGGCATGTTCAGGGAGCTGATGGTGGTGATCCGTATTTGGGGACTGCTGAAGCCAAGCTGCCTCCCCGTCTACACAGCAACCTCCGACACCCAGGACAGCATGTCCCTCCTCTTCAGGCTCCTAACTAAACTCTGGCTGTGCTGTGAGTGTTTGCCGGTTTCCCTGAACAAAAGAATCCTTCTTTAATGTGGATTGTGCGTGAAAGGAATAATTGTGGGGAGTGACTTCTGAGTGGGTCTGTAGTGTTTAGAAAGGGCAAGTACAGCTGCCAAGTTTATTGTTTTCTGTGCTGTGTTGGTGGATGGAGGAGGAAGCCGCACGCAGTTCTCTTGATCTCTAAATGAGAAATTTAAAGATCATGCTGGTTCTCTCTCTTGGCTTCATTTTCCATGCAGGTCGTGAGGAAAATCACATAACGGAGCCAGATGACACCCTGATAGATGAATGTTGCCTCCTGCCCAGCCAGTTGCTCATTCCCAATATTGACTGGTTGCCCATCAACGATGGTATTATCAGCAAGCTGCAGAACAAACAGCTTGTCCGGCTGCAGTTTGGGAAAGCTCCTGGGCTCATTGGTCACACTGTCTCGTCCCAGTTTGATGCCTTTGTCAGGTAGAATAGACGGTGTGGTGAGAAGAGGGTGTCAGGAGGCCTTGGGATCTCTTTGCAGCTCTGAGAGGTCGGTGGGTTTGGGACGCCTGTGTGTTTTGGCTTGTCCACTTGCTGGTGTGACCCAAGAGCAGTTTGTCCTCTCTGCTGGAATTCATTTCTTAACTTGCAATGGGCTGGAAATTTAAAGTATTAAAAAGAGATGGCAAAGGGAGGAGGCGGGGAGGAAATGCTGGTTTGTGATGAAATTCATGTCAGCATGGCCTTGAATCCCATGGCACTTGATGGACTAGGTCGTCAAAGCCTGTGTCCCGTTGGCCACTGAAATGCAGCTCACTGTCCTGGAAACAGCTTTCAGAAAGTGATATTCTAGAAAAGTTCCCATTCTTCTTCCTACCCAGGGCACCTGGCCAGCCCAAAATTGATCATCTGAGGCGGCTTCATTTAGGAGCATACCCGACAGAGGAATGCAAGTCGTGTACCAGGTAAGCGATGCAAGCGTAATGCTGTCAGCGCCGAGGAGGTCTTGGCAGGAACTCAGACTGTTCTTTCTGTCATTCAAAAGCTCTTTCAGTCTTTCTGTTTACCATCCTAGCTGGTACCCCAGTAGCATTTCATGTTGATCGTGTCTGCAGGAGGAAATGCTGCTTCTATAGTAAGGCTTTTGGCGTATGGCACTGCCCCTTGCATTGGAAGGAAACAGTTGTGGTTGTGTTTAAGGCAGCCCTCACCTGGAAGACCGAGATCCTTAAAATGCTTGTTGAAGAGCAGCGTCGCTGACTTGAGATAGCAGCTGCTGCTGCATCGTTGCAGCATGGCTGTTAGATTAAAAATCTTATTACTTTGCCCGGCACAGAGTAACCGCAGCTCTGTGAGAATTAGCTACATTCGTCATTGCCAGTGGTTGAACTGCATTTCATCTAAGGGCTGAACTGTGCGTCATGGAATAAATATGGTACTGCTTTTACAGAAAAATCTGAGAGCAGTCAGGCTGCACAGGTAAACGGAGACCAGAATTTGGCCTGCAGGAGTCTTTATTAGTGATGAGAGATCCCCAGCTTGTTCTGCAGGTCTGGTCTTTAAATAAAACTACCTGTGTTCTTGGAGAGGAGCTGGTGAGAGGAAATAATCACAATGTCCATGGTGCCATTTTTGTGTTGTCTTTCAAACTAGGCTTGTATTTTAAGTCCCTTTGTGCTGTCCTCTTCATCCACCCTCACAAAAGAGCCTGGATTTCAAAACAATGGTGCGGGGAGCAAACATCCATCTAATCATGTGATTGAATTAGCTTTAATTATTGGTTTTAATGGAAGCTCTCTGTAGCAGATCATTTTTACAAGATGTCTGTCTGCTGTTTTATGTATAAATAGCAGCTGGGGGCTGTTGTCTTGAAGACAGCGTTCTGTTCCAAGAGAACCTCTCTTCATTTAAGATAATTGCTCGCATGGTTTCAGCTGTTTTTTAGTGCTCACGAACATCACCTGCAAATGACAAAAGCTGGTTTCCTCCTCAGATTCCTTGCTCCCTGAATGATCTGTACAGATGCCCCAGCAGTGCTGGCTTTTTTCCTGGGCTTCTGTGTCTCCTGGGCCTGGCTTGCCCCTCTCTCTTTCTTTCCAGGTGTGGCTGTGTTACGATGCTGAAATCGCCGAACAAAGTCACTGCGGTGAAGCAGTGGGAGCAGCGCTGGATCAAAAACTGCTTGTGTGGGGGGCTGTGGAGGAGGATGCCCCTCAGCTACTCCTGAGCGCACCTTCTGCGGGGCACGGGGGGAACAGTGGGTGCCAAGCGGAAGAGCTGCTCAGGGCTTCCTTCCTCGGAGGTGTCTGGGGCAAAGGAGCAGCAGCTCTTCCCTTGAGGTCTCGGAAGGCGTCGTCCTGATGCTGCTGGTGAGAAGGCACCAAGCAGCTGACAGCAGTGCTGCTGCTTTTCTTGCAGTGATCTTTCTGCCGTAAAAAAGAGGGGAGGGAGCTTCTTCCTCTTTTACAGGGAAGAGCTAGAAGGGAATGCCAGAGATTTCCCCGTCAATGTCAGCGGGGACCAAGGGCCTGGGAGGAGGGAACCCTGCTGGGTTTGTGTCTCTGGGCTGAGCAGGTGGAGCGGCCGGGCCCTGAGCAGAGAGCAGTGATGGGTGGTGGCTGGGGGTGACAGACAAAGCCCCCAGTGACAGGGGAGCGAATACCTGGTACCCCGTGTTCGTCCTTTGCTACAGACTGCTTGGGACGTGCATCACGGGCTGGTCACTCCATTTCCCTGCACTTCTCCATCCTTTGCGTAAACTTGCCGCTCTGATGGGAGACTTCACCATTGTACCTATCTGTGTTTTAACGGAGCAATTTCTTCCCCCTCCAGAGGAGCAGGAACAGGAGAGTGTTGCTCCCTGGAGCAAAACCCCTCTGTTTGGCTCTCACTGAACCAGCAGCTCTTTTGTAAATAAAAGTTTCCTTAATTTTGTACAGAATGTTTGGTTTGTTTTCAAAACTTCAGCTGTCTTTTGTGTGGCTTTGGTCATACGGTGCGTGGCCGGGATGGTTGATGCCTGAACAGAAGAGAGGCGGGAAAGCCTTATTAATTGCGTGTCTGTTAGGAAAGGAGCTGCCATCGTTTGCAAAATTGGAAGGGGAAATTAACGTTTCCCAGCTTCTGTCAGGTTGTTACGGACACAAGAAGAGTAGACGTCAGGTCATTAGGATCGTTGCAAGTCTCCTGCTTCAGACAAAGCTGGACACTTCAGCCTGTTTGAGGAAGAGAGTTAAAAAAACTGTCCCGCTCCCAAGGTCAGGCGAAAATCGCATCAACCGTTTGTGTTTATTTGACAGTGCTCAGCTGCCACTTCACTGAGCACCGATTTGCTAGAAATTGCAAACGTGGTCTAATGTTGTTGCATCTGTTGGACGCAGTATCCCTGGCCGTTTGGTGTTCAGCCAGATGACCCGGGCTGTTGGTGCGCGCTCGCTCCGCTCTCTAAGGTCCTTCAGTTCTCGGGGTGGGCTGTTAATTGTGTGAGGAGAACCCTCGAGCCTCCCAGCCGGTCGGGATATATGGCCTGACTGCGCAGCGCGGCTTCGGCACTCCCAGGCGGCAGAAGCCCCTCGGAGCTGTGGCCCGGGCACGTGGCTGTCGGAAGCCCCCGGGGGGAAGGACCTGGCCATGGGAGCCTGGGTGCTTGGTGGCCTGTGGCCACTCCGAACTGGGCTGGGGCAGGCAGCTGCCTGCTCGCGGGGGAGCTGCCAGGGATGACCTGCCCTGCGCTTCTGCTGAGATCAAACCAGGCTGGGGGTGCTCAGCACCTTTAGAGAATCGGACCTCAACATCTGCGCGCTTTGACGAAGCGCAGTGGAGATACTTGGAGCTGATCTGTGGCTTGGCCAAATTCCTGCCCAGCCGCACAACTTCTGGGTGTCCCCAGAGACCGTTTAAGGCAGAGAACAAGCCGATTTGTGTATATTCCTTTCCCTCTGGAATGGCGTTTTCATTTATTAGTGAAAAATTGGGCTGATGGCAAAGAGCCTGTCTCTCAGCTCCAGTTAATGTTTTGCTGTATGGAACTGGTCTCTGCCTCGCTATTCTGGTGGTAATTAAGGAAAATCAAATGGCTCATTAGGAAACTACACCTTCTTGTTAAGGCTCTTTTCCTCTGTAAGTAAAACTAGTCAACCTGGGCCCTCGTTAATCTCCTTTTTCTCAGAGAAAGGGTTCGGGGTTATTTGATGTTTGGGTGCTGGTGCTCGCTGTTTGCACGGAGGTGGGACTGAGGGGCAGACTCTGCCCCACTCCCGGGATGGGGATGCTGGAAGAGTCCCGCAGTTCCCTGCCGTGATGCTGCTGCCCGGCTCTGATCCTGTGTGCCTTCCCCCCAGCCCCGCTCCCTCTAAGGACCCCGGTCTGTGGGAGGGCAAGGGGCTTCTCTGTGCCGAGGTCCTGCACCGGCCCTGCCGCGATGGGGGACACAGGACAAGGACCAGGAGGGGGTGTTGGCAGAGCCCAGGTGCCCCATGAGGAGAGCCCACTCCGGGCAGAGTTGGGGTCAAGCACTCACAACAGTGAGTTTGGGGGGGTCTCAGCACACGGCCGAGGCAAAGGAGGGGATGGGGCTCCCTCCAAATGTGTGGGTGGCAGGGAGCAGTGGTGGGGAGTGAGGGGGGGCCTGGCCCTGCCATCCCCACGGGCTCAGCCTCAGCATCTCCCCATTTTGTGTCCCGCTCCTCCCAGTGCTGCCCGCACCCCCTGGGCAGGGGGCTCCCATGCAGACCCCCCCCACAGCTGCAGTAGCTCTGCAGGAATTGTCAACGCTTTATTGCAGCGGGTTGCAGTCAGCATTATGGGCACGTACAGCAAAGCCTGTGGCTTGTGCCAGCGTGGGGGGCTGTGACCCCCAGCCCTTCCCCAGCTGGGCCCCGTGCTTTGCAAGCAGGGGGCCGGGGACCCCCTTCCCCTGGTTTCTCGGCGGTTCCCTGGCCCAGCCCTCCTCCTGGCGTGGGGGGATGCTCCGGGAGCAGGTTGGGGCAGCGATGCAGCTTTCCCTGAGCGGCAGCGT